AAATTTTTTTGATGATCATAAAAATGTGCGCATTTATTATGTAACACAAACCCCGGCATAAAATTTCCAACACTGCTCATAACTTTATATCATTAGAATTAATTGATCTTCTTATCAAAGAAAACGTGACTTTTATCTAGACATCTTGTGCAACGATTATTATTACAATTCGGAAAAACAGATGATAATCTAATTGAACTAAAAATACAAAATGACATCAATGTCAACAACAACAACAAAAACAACAACAGTAATAATAATGACACAAAGAAATATCTAAATTATATAAAAATAATAAAAATATGAATATTCATATATAGTAGAATTATATTAAAAGAAAGATAACAATAATTGTAGTATAATATTTTTTCTTTCCCTAACCAAATTTTTCTTTAGTCCATTTTCTTTTATAGGTCTCCAACCCATTTTCTGTTCCACGTTGTGCCAAATATCCCAATTTTTCTTTTTTTATTATTTAGGTTCGTTGATATTATCAGTTTCTGCTTCCCCAATTAATTGCAACTAATTGCAGCATATGAAAATTGAATTGCAGTTGTTTATACAAAATTAAAATATCAGTCATGACAGATTTTGTCAAATTGAATCCAACTTTGACCAATTGTTGTATGCATTCAATGAAATCAATTGTAGTTGGATAATTACATACTTCATTTTTATAATTTGGGTAGAATACAATTAGTAAAGAACCTTGTAACACTAATTATTGACATCTTTACATATATCATGGTGGCCAATTTGTATCCAGAATTCTACTAGTTCAGGATAAATTAATATTGCTCTTGCAATTATCATCAGGAAAATAAATCTTACATAAACCTACGCAGGGTTCAGAATTGGCCAGCATTGTGTCGATATTTTGGTAATTCTGTTAACATTTCCGCATAATGCTGGTCAGTTTTAAACCCTGCGTAGATTTACATGAGATTTATTTTCCTGATGATGTTCAATTGCTTGTTGTTTTCAAATCCATCCTTGGCTGAGTACTCTTTACAATTAGTATTTGCATTTCTATTTGGTAATCAATTGAGTCTTCAAATTGAATTATTGATATGAACTTTTTATTTAATATAAGATCCTTTATTTTTCAAAGTTTTCTATTGATTTTTTGGAGCCAAGTCTATGGCTAATGAACCTCCTGTCAAAATAATGTCATTTTCTTTCAAGGGAATATCTTCGCCATACCGCAATTTGGCTTCTACAAACACCACCACTGGAATATCCAAGGCTCAAGGATTTCTATAATAATTGAGAAGCTTTAGATATTCCTTGATTCATGTCATTATTGCTGTTGTTGTTGGCGTTGATGTCATTTTGTATTTTTAATTCAATTAAACTATCGTCGGTTTTTCTGAATTGTAATAATAATCGTTGCACGAGATATCTAGATAAAATCACGTTTTCTTTGATAAGAAGATCAACTAATTCTAATGATATAAAGTTATTATAGCGAATCGCGTAAAAAAACGAATGTGCTTTGCCGTGGTTTTTAATGATCCAGTTTGCTCTTACTTTGGGATCTTTTGATATTTTATACCACGATTTATCAGTTAAAATGAGCAAAAATGGGAATTTTGTATTTATAAATATTAATTTTTTTATTTCTTCTTCTTCATTCATTTTTTTTTTCTCAAAAAAGAGAGAATATTCGGTCAAATACATGATTATTTATATATACGTAAACTTGATAATTCGGGAGCAACAATAATTGTTTAAGGTACTTGATAACATAAATAAAGAACCAAATTTATCGAGTCATATGTAAATAAATAAAAAAGTAAAAAATACAGACAAACCTTGTTATGCTGCAATTAAGTCACGTAATAATTATTAATAAAATTATAATAAAACGTATGACTTTTTTTGTGATTTAATTATTTTTATGGAATTATAGAAGGCGCAAATACAAGTCTTGTTGTTTGGATGGCTATTATTAAAAAAAAAATATCGCAATCATTGTTAGAAATTTTGCATATTAAAAAGTAACTCAAAAATGTAGAGTTAGCAACACAATATGAGATTGGTCCAAATTTTAAATAATTTTCGCAAATTGTAATTTTAAAAATTTTATTCCGATTTCCCGATTAGGAAAATTTCTAATATGATCCCCATATTTTCCATATTAATATTTTGTTTTAGATATTTAACATATAATAAATTTATGGATCACTGTAAAATGTGGCACTAAATTTTATTATGGAAACGAATCATAAGAAATATTAGTTTTTATAGCTGAAATTATAGATAAAATTAAAGGATTTAATAATTAAAGCTTCAAAAATAAAATTATTCGATAAATTAAAATGTCTCGAGTATCTAATACGCCGAAAATAAATATTTGGTACTAAAGTTATCAATCCTGTGACTAGTCCTGAACTTGAACCGGTTCTTAAAGAATTTATAAACACTTTGAGTATTATAATTGAGGAATTATTTTTTATTAGCGTTACGGACACAGTCTCGCTTATTGAATAAAACCAATATAACAATCATAACATTTAATACATGCTTTGTGTTTAATTATCAATCTGAAGATTTTATATAAATTCCAATATTCGAAAGCATTGTTAGAAAAAAGATTATTGTCCACTCTTATTTATTATTGCCATTACCATTTTCATCGTTTTGTCATCATCATCGCGTTTCCTAAAGAAATTTATTATTTATTACATCGGGTATTTGATCCGGTAATTGCAAGATAGTTTATTTAGAAAGGAGGTGGTTGGTTGATGTGATTCACATCAAAAAAGTAATATTTTTGTTTGCGAAGATCCTTCTCATTCATTAATTAATCGGAAAAGCCATAGTTCTTTATTTATCAAAGAAATTAATAGTTTTATTAATCGAAAAAGTAATGGTTTATTGTTTGCTAAGATAATTGATTGAAAAGTAATTATTTGCTAAGATCTCTTTCATTAATTGATCAAAAATGTAATAGTTCTTAAAATATGATCGGTATAATAGTAATAGATAATAATGCATTTTTCGTCTTCATGACAAAAAAAAAGATATATATTGATTTTTTCTTATTATTGTAAATAATTATTAAATTCATGTTGGTTTCAACATGGAAGAAGGTAGCAGAGAAAATCAAGCAAAGTTAAAAGACTAGCAAAAGAAAAAAACGGAAGGCTGTCGGGTGTCATTGAAAGTAGAAAGGCTTTACGACCTTGGAAAAAAATAAATTATATTCATCTGTAAGCTAATTTTACACACACAAAAAAAAAAAAAATGAATATTTGCAATTTAACATAGGAAATTCCTTCCCCAAAAATCAAGTTTAACAAAAGTTGAACTTCAACGTCTCCTCAACATCAACATCGACATGCTATGTTGACTTCTCTCTTCCCTTCCCGGCATGATCGCATCATGATCAATAGAGAGTATTTATCACAACGCAACCAACTTCGTGAAACTGCGATCTCCTTTTTATAGATAAAATTACCAAAAGACATTATTTAAAAAAAAAT